TGAATTTTTCACACAGAAACCCATCCCCCTTTGATGTTATCTGAGTAAAAATAGAAAGGAAGTTAGAAATTTATTTGTATTTGTTACTCTTATGTTCCAGAGAAGGCAACAGTATGGAGGTGCAAGTAGACATTGAGTCGAAGCCATCCAAATTCAGGCACAACAGTGGAAGCAGTAGTGTGGAGGATGGCAGTGCCCCCCGAAGTCATCCTGGTGGTTCATCCAGTGGCTTGTCTGAGGGTAAATCCAGCGCCACCAAGTGGTCCAAAGAAGCAACAACAGGAAAGAAATCCAAAACTGGTAAATTGAGGAAAAAGAGTAACATGAAGATAAATGAGACCAGAGAAGACATGGATGCACAGTTGTTGGAACAACAAAGCACGAACTCAAGTGAGTTTGAGGCTCCATCCCTCAGTGACAGTATGCCATCTGTAGCGGATTCCCACTCCAGTCATTTTTCTGAATTTAGTTGTTCTGACCTAGAAAGCATGAAAACTTCTTGTAGTCATGGTTCCAATGAGTATCATGCTCGTTTTGCTACTGTTAACATTCTTCCTGAGGTAGAAAACGACCGTTTGGAAAATTCCCCACATCAGTGTAGTATTTCTGTGCTTACCCAAACTGCTTCATGTTCAGAAGTTCCACAGCTGATTCATATTGCTGAAGAACATAGCAACAGCGGAATAAAGCCCAGTGTTGATTTATATTTTGATGATGCACTAAAAGAAACAAATAACAACCACTCACATCAGACAATGGAATTAAAAGTTGCGATTCAGACTGAAATTTAGGCCTATAAATGCTGCAAAATAATTACCACTGAACAACCTTGTTTGGAGCTGGTTGAACTACACGTGACTACTTTAAGTTTCAGGTTACCAGCAAAAGCCAGGTTACATAATCATAATGCAGATATTTTCTGTGTTCAGCAAAGCATTGTGTTTCATGTGGATCTTAATTACCAAACTATGAAATGAAGGCTTTAAAAGTGCATTATTGTAAGGAAAATAATCCTTCAGAGAAGTATGTTTTGTGCATTTGCCACAAAATATTGCTTGAAGCACATACTTGTGTACTTAGAAATTTGGCTTAATTTATAGTCAATATAAAATACTAATGCAGTTCTACAGCATTCTTATGAAGAAAACTTGAGGCTTGGGGTTAAGTGGTTAGTGACATTTTATTGAAACCACTAAGGGATACTGTTTAAAGAACCTCGCAGGTTACTCTCAGTATATGATACTCTTTGTAACATTTCTATTCATAACTGGGCATAAATTTTTTTTCATATGCAATGTGGATATGTAAAGCTTAATGCAGCCCATTTGCTACCATTTGGATACTTAGACACTCTGACCAAGATTGTGGCAGTTTTTTGCACAACTTTGAAATAGAAATACCTGGCACTCTATATATCTTGTATATTGTTGATATGCCATCATAGAAGAAAAGTATAAAGGCAGGTAATTAAGTATACTGACAGCACCAAATAAGATATAAAAAACTGCAAAACAAAATTCCATTAGTTTATAAGTATTACAAAAAAGTCACCTTTCACTGAGTGGGAGTTTATACCCCATTGATTTTTGGTGCCATTGGTATGGACTGGATTTTAAGGGTCTAGTTAGTTGAAGATTTTTCTGTATTATTTTCCATAATGTCCTCTCTAGCCACCTTGGATTGTGTAGAAAATATTAATAATAACAATGCTGAAAAAGTATTAGCCTACCAAAGACACACTCAGGCTTCACATAACCTCAAGTTTTTAACACATGCGTATCTTTTCCATTCACGAAATCCAGGTACGGTACAGAGTTTGTACCAAGCACTAAGGAGGGACCCACGTACGGCTGGCTCTATTTTCCTTTGCTTCTGCTCTTGTTTATGGAAGATGTTCAGCTGACATAAACAGCAGTTGGCCAAAATACTGCCTGTACTGTTAAATTTCTGTTTAATTCACTTAAATAAAACAGGTTAACCTCAACGATAGCAGTTAAAATGTTCCATCTTATGTGTTTCTTTTAAGTATTACCATTATGGTGCTACTGAGCATTTTCTTTTGATAAAAAGAAAAATGCCGTGGGCTGCAGTCTTCTTACATCACTTTTTCTCACAGGTCCATTAATATGCTTATAACACTAGCGCCAGTTATTTTATTTGATGATGCTTATTATGGTATTTGTATATTTGTTTGCATTCCAATTTTGTTCAATAGTGTGTAAACTGCATACATGAAATAAATGTAAATACTGATGTATTGCTGCTGCCTTATGTTTTCTGCATAGGTGTTTTTATAAGAATGGAAATATTGCCCTGGCTGGCTTGGCACAGTGGTCAGAGCGTCAGCCTGCGGACAGATGGGGCCGCAGTCGGGGCCGGTGCGGGAGGTAGTCAGTGTGCTGCTCTCACATCCGTGTCTCTCTCCCTCCCTTCTCCTCTCTGAAAGGGAATGGAGAGAATATTCTCAGATGAGGATTTTAAAAAGACAGGAAAATATTTACTTGCGTGTGGCTGTTATTCATAAATACTGCAAACTGTTAATTTAACTGTTCTGGTCTCAGCCCAAAGGGAAGCATTTACTGAACTTCTCAGCAAATGATTGTTAGAAATCTTTCTTCATGTCTAATACCTGCCTTTCTTTCAGAAAGGAGTTGTTTAATTCTTCAAAATAATTTCACTTTTTAAAGTAAACTGGTTGGGCCCGGCTGGTATGGCACAGTGGTTGAGCGTTGACCCATGAACCAAGAGGTCTCGGGTCCATTCCGGGTCAGGGCACAGGCCCGGGGTTGTGGGCTCGATCCCCCAGCAGGGGGCATGCAGGAGGCAGCCGGTCAGTGACTCTCTCATCATCGATGTTTCTCTCCCCCTCTCCCTTCCTCTCTCTGAAATCAGTTTTAAAAATTAATTCAGTCACTCTGTCTTCTGGAGAATTAAGTCCATTTACACTTAGAGTAATTACGGCTATGTAGACTTCTTTGCCATCTTGATTGCTGCTTGTTTTATTTCCATTGTTTCCTGATTTCTGTTTTTCCCATTCCTTCTTCCTCCTGTTGGTTTCACCTGTGTAAATTGGTGATTTTCCACAGTGGTATGTGCTCTGTCTCCCCTTTAAAAAAAAGTGTTTTGTGAATCTGCTCTAGATTTTTGCTTTGTGGTTACCATGAGGCTTACATTAAACATCTCGATAAAAGTCCATTTTATTCTGACACTTCCTCTTCATTTGCCAATAAAGGCTCCATTCACCCTTTTACTCCCGTCACAATTTACCTCTTCTTTGTTGTGTATTTGTTATCAAATTACAGTAGCTATATACTCTTCATTTAAACTTTATACTGTAAACTTTAAACTGTAGTTCAGTGGCTAAGACACCATCCTATTACAGAATTACTTTTCTAAATTTGAGTAGTTTCTCACCTTTGCCATTGTAAAGGTGTTTTCATGTCACTGATTAGCACCTTTTCATCTTGAAGAACTTTCAGTATTTCTTGCAAGTCAGGTGATAAACTGCCTCAGCTTTTGTCTGGAACAGTCTTTGTCTCCTTCATATATCTGAAGGATAACTGTGCTGGAGAGTATTCTTGGCTGGCAGTTTTTATCTTTTATCACTTTGAATATGTAATTTCACCCTCCTGGCCTGTAGAGTTTTAGCTGAGAAATCTGCTGATGGGCTAATGGGGGTTCCTTTGTATGTTACGCACGCGCGCGCACACTTTTGCTAGTTCCATTATAATGTATCCTGGAAAAGGTGTTTTTGCATTCAGGAAAAAAGGGAAATCTATTAGCTTTGTGAATTTGGATGTCCAGGTCTTTCCCCAGCGCTGAGAAGTTTTCATCTATTGTTTCTTTAAATAAGCTGCCTGCCTTCTCCCTCTTCTCTGGATTCCTAATTATGTGGCTTTGGGCTTGGTTGTTGAGTTACCACCTTTTGGGTGACATTTTCTTGACTCGCCATGCTCCTTGTGTCTTGGTGTTGCTGCTCTCATTTGAGGTGGCAGCGATGGTGCTGCTGCTGTATGAAGGTTCCCTCAGCTGTTGAATGGGAAGACTTGTTGCACTCTGATTGCGCCCTCTTGTGGCAGAATTCCTAATCTTTTATATCTTATAACTCACCATGCTGGCTCCTGGAAACTCGTTTTCCAGAAAGGGGTGCTGTAGCTCCAGTTTGTGGTTTCTCTCTTGCCCACAGACCCTGGTCCCTTTTTCTGAGACCACTCTGATTACTAGACCTGCCTTTGCTACCGCACTCAGGAGCATGCACAGAGATCCTGCCCCAGTGTGGGAGGGGGTGTGGGTGGAGCACTCGGGGCTTTGGGGGTACCCAGGGCCCCAGTGGGGAAATTGAGTGGGATTTCCTGATGAAGTCCTGAAAAGGAACCGTGTTCCTCGAATGCGCTTTGGTACTCCGATCTGCATCCTTCACTCCCTCTTCCCTCCCCTTAGTCACGGAAGTGCCACCTCTGCTCCAGGCGCTGCTGGAGAGAAAAGGGACCCACAGGCGTAGACAGGGGGTGGCTCCCTGTCTCCACCCCTGCAGGAGGGTGCCGGCAGTGAGGTGCTGGGTGCGTACAGTCAGTGAGAGGGTGTTTCCTTGCTGCGTCTGCTCTAAAGTTACCAGCACACTCCACCGTTGACTACAAAAATGTAGTGGCATTGAAAAGTAGAACACTATTTGCTCACCTGAAGACTAGAATTAAATAAATACTGTTACAGTAGATTTTCATGTGTGAACAGGGAAACAGTTTAAAAGGAAAAGGGCATGGTTTTAAAGATACCATGTACCCACAGTGGCATTTAAAATACTCTGTAATTATGAAAAATTAGATACAACAAAAGTAACATTCACTTTCATCTTTACTTCTGACGCGCACGGGGAAATCTCCTGAAAAGAGCGCCGACTACAGACGAGGAGCAGCGGCGGGGCGGCGGGCGGGATACTGGCAGGTGTTCTGTTTCGAGAAACGGCCTTGCTCTGCCTGTCAGCAGAAGAGCCTCCAGGAGAGGAGTTCCTCGCCTTCCCGTTTACTTTAAGGGGGTAAATACGGTCATGCTTAACAGGGATAAAAGGGGGGAAGGCATTTAAAAGCTGGGGAAACATGGGGGTGACAATTCCAACAGAAGTGAAGGCTTAGTTTGCTTCTATATATTTGTTGTTTTGTTACGGCTTATACAAGCAATTTATGAGGGAAAGGAGCTTTTTAAAGTCTAGTATAAAGTGGTAGAAATTTTTGGCAATTTTCTTAATTATTAGGCAGAGCTTCCATATCAGAAAAAAAAGTTGCTCTTATAGCTCTAAATTGATAATCACAATTTATTTAATAATCATTTCATATTACGGATTTAAGTATTGCATTTATCTTAGCACACTGTAATATGCAAGTAGTATAAAATGGGACCTAAAATATTTACGTGTGTTAGCAGGAAATAAAGGTGATGTACTAATCACTGGTAATGATTTTCACTTTTAAAAATGCATTTTAAAGAAATGCATTTCTGTCAAACTTAAAGGAGTCTGTGGACTCCACAGCCCAAGGAAATATAATTTAACTCAAGTTTTTAACAAGTTATTAAAAGAAAATGTATGATATAAATTAAAATGCATCTGAGTAAGTTCCAAGTATACTTACTATTAAATATAAAGATGTTAGCTCTGGTACATAAGAAAATATTTACAACTAATAAAAAGCAGATTGTAGAATATACATGTTCTACGTATAAAAATAAGTAGAATATTTTATAATCCAGACCCAGGGCTCTCTCGTAAGCAAGGTCTTCTCCATGCAACTGTATGACCCCACCACCTCAGTGGTGCCGGACGCGTGCATGCGTGGGAGGAATCTAACCGTCGTCTTGACCTAAAGCTCATACTGCCTCTTCAGGGCCTGTACGTCTTCTAAAGTAAAATGTTTGTTTGGTGTGTCTGAGAGGTCATCAAAAAGCTGTTCAATTTGCTCCTTTTGGCCCTTGCTAATTAGTGTCAACATCATCTGAAAAAAGGAGAAACGTTTTATTAGCATAAAAAGGTTACCATGTTGAAGCTGCAGAAAGCCTGTGGAAAGTCTCTTCCAGTAAGAGGCTTGGCCGCTCACCTTAAACCGCTCGGCTCTGCTCAGATGTAAGAGATGCTGGTAGACCAGGGAGGGGTCCTGGCGCAGGGGCTCCGTCCCCAGGGCCTGCAGGAGGAGGACGAACAGGTCGCCCTCGAGTTTGTTGCTCAGCAGCGCCGGCAGGGCCCGCGGCTCGGTGCCCGCCAGCAGGCGCGCGCAGGCTGCTGCGTCCTTCCTGGCGCTGATCGCACTCACCGCCTGCCCGAACTCGTAGGCGTTGCTGGGCTTGGGGGTCGGGAGTTTCTCGGGGTCTTCTGGGGGCCCACGGCGCGTGTCCCCCTGCTCAGAAGCAGGGCAGCCAGTGCAGACGTCCTCGGGGGTCCTGGCGGGCTCTTCGTGGCCGTCGTTCACCTTTGCGAGGAAAAGAAATGACCCGTGACACAGAGCCGCTGCACACGTCCCAAGTTACGGTCATTAGAATGAGAAGGAAGGAAAAACCAGCTGTGCTTTAGTCAGCTTCTCCGTGAAAAATGTGTCATTTGTAATAAATTAGAAAATCTGCTTTTTTAGGAAGACAATTTTTAAAGTATTAGTATTCATAAAAGTATTTTTTGAAGTTTAAAATACTTTTAACATTGAAAATCAAAATTTTTATAATTTTCTTTAAAAAAAAAAAAGTTGACTGATTTTTAGAGGGAAGAGGAGAGAGAGAAACATCGATCAGCTGCCTCCTGCTCGCCCCTGACCGGGGATCGAGCCCACAACCCGGCACGTGCCCTGACCGGGGATCGAACCGGTGACCACCTGGTGCACAGGACGACACCCTACTGGGCCACACCAGCCAGGGCTCTTTTCATAATTTTCCATGAAGGACCTATAACAACTTTATCTCTTTTCATAACTTTTACATTTACCTATTTACATTTAACAGAGAAGTAAACTTGTATTTTTCAATTATCTTAAAACCGTTTTCTCCCTCCTGGGAGGGAAAACCCCTCTGGGCTCCGCACTCTCCCTGGAAGCGCGCTGTGACCAGCAAGTGCCCAGGATCTCGCATCCACATGATCCACTCCACTGAAGACAGCCGGAGTCTCAGAGGCGGCCAGTCGATTCTGAGAGCTAACAGGGTCCGAGTCAACCCGGGAAATCTCGAGGGTGGCTTGCGGGGCCACTGGAACAAAATTGGTCCCGACAGGACTACCCTGGGGCAAAGCTCAGTGGCCAGAGACCCCAGAGAATCTGGGGAGGAAGCAAAACACGTCACAGGCC